TTAAAGGAAGCTGCAGTGGAGTTAGATACTAGAGAAATAACTTTCAATGCATTTTTCAACAGGAAAATCAATAAATTCTTGGCATCCTACCATGGTTTCCAATACCATGGATCGTTCCTACTGGATCAACTGGAGATTCATGTTGTGTGCAATATGGGTGCTTTCCTCTATGGCGGGGGCTTCTATTTTGGTATGGAAATATGAAGGTTCTAAACCTGATGGGACAGTGGAAGGAGAGGTTCAACATAGAAATATGGGGGCTTCATACGAGGATGAGGCTTGGATGCCCTGTCTTAGTACAATTCACCCTGTTTGGCTGCTGCTTTTTCGGGTGATTGCATTTTTGGTATTTGTGGCGCTGCTTGTTGTTAACGTTGTTGTGGATGGAGCTTCCATATTGTTCTACTATACTCAGTGAGACTCCTTTCCTCCAATTTTGGTTTCTGACTGAAAAGAATGCCGCATTTGTAGTTTTGCAATTCATCTTCATCATTATTACTCTTATCTCAACAATTTGTAGTTTTGCAATTCAGTTCATGCTGTTCTCTTTGTTCTTTGTTGTTGTGTGGATGCTTTTCTTGTTCTTTCCCAAAAATCAATCGTTAACTGTGTGTATGCATGCATAATGTAATTGTTCATTGTTTTTTTTTTTCTTGTTCATAATATTTACCTTTGATGCCTGAATAAAAAACTTCTGCTGCTGCCACTTACATTATTATATTATATATTATAATTGATGGTCTCAGAATTCATCATAGTTAGCACTTAGCAGTGCTAGTTATGTTTTGTTTAATTGCTTTTCTGTATTTTATAGTCCCATTTTGATGGTAATAAAACTTTGTAAAAACTAAATGAAGATAAAAGAAAAAATGCAAGACATCATAGACACTAAAGGATTTCTCTTCATAAAAAATTAAAAATAATGATAGAAATATCACTATGGCTATGTTAATGACAAAGAGATAATGCAATCACGTCCTATAAAGACGAGGTCTTCATGTTGAGAAGAAAATATTATTGATGGTGTTATGAATCTCTCTCTTTCTCTGCTGCTAGAGTTTTTGCCTACTATAATCGAAAATTTCGCCTATTAATGGAACTAAAACTATGAGTACCTTAAAAACTCATCATTCTCTCTTGGTTGGCATCCCCTCTGCTCTCTTTCTCCCCCACCTTATTTACTTTTGGTTGTGAGATGCCAAACCATTACTACTAAAACTCAATTTATAATGGTAATAAGAAATGATTTGGAGATGTAAAATTTATTATAAGATCTTGTAAGATATTACAAGATCTTTTAAAGTCAATAAATATCATACAGAATTTGTTAACAGTGGTTGAGTGATAAACTACTCCATATGTTGGATTCAAGTTTTTTTGTGGGTAACATCGAATTTTACTAATAGGTAAGCTCTAAAGGGGTATACCTCGAGAACTTGTGTGAGAATGAAAAGAGAAGATGAAAACTTTGTGGAAAAATAGTTTGCTGCATCAAAAGATCTCAAATGTTCTTATGCACTTTTTATTATAGGGATCTGAGTGCACCAATTAATGATCCCATGTGTCAACACTCCTATTTTACTCCTCTGTCTCGGGGTGAGTTCGCTTGTGTCGAGTATGTATAGACGAGTAGGAGTAGGCGAGTCCGGTGAGGGAAGATCTGAGAGGGTTGTGGTTGGTGAACACTCCAAAGTCATTGGAAACCTTTATATGAAGCCCCCAATTGTGAGGCAAGTATGTCCAAATGGAGGGGGTAATAGGCTCCAAGGCCAGATGACCATGGAGGGATGAGCTGGAATCCTCTTGAGAAGACCTTTTCCCGTAGCTTGGATGACAAGTATGACTGATGATGGGTGTTTGTCGACGAGTGGAGAATTCCTTTTGATTTTCTCGCCAACTTATGGACTAATAACTCTTGAGCGAACTCACGCTACTGAGGTATACGAGGTATTAGTTTACTCTCCATGATCCGTCGGCTACCTGTTAAATATCTAAAAGGCATATATGAGTGTACATCATAAAATTTGAGAAGCTAGAAATTCTCCCTAGAAGAAGTTGTGAGAGCCACCCAAGTGGCACCTCCTTAAAGCTTGTGAAGAGAAGATTGCACTTCATTTCATCGCTAACTCTAAGAAGGGAGATTGTGGACTCAAAGCAGGATAGGTGGTTGGTCGGATCTATCTTGCCCATGTAAAATTCAATAACGGGCATTTTTAGTCTCGTAGGAGGCTAAGCCTTTGTGATCTTGTATTAGAAGGCATTTGTAAGTTGAGCCTTGTGCTTTTTTTATTAGCACGAGAGAGAGGTCTCTAAAATACTCTCCTTAGGAAAAGATGACTCTTCGCTAGAATAAGTAAAACTAAAACAATGATGATGAATTCGAGAGGCGATTGAGCTTGATATAACTAGTTGTGTAGAAAACGAGTTTGTATGCCATTTTATATGTTGTGACCTTCATGTGATGTCAGATTAATTCTCATTAACTATTTCTTGTTCTTCATTCTCATTTTTTAAATTCTACCATCACAGTTTTTTAAGGTACAAATGAAGAACTTCACTGTTTTTTGTAGATGATTTTGTTGCTGACAAATTTAGTCTTTTCTGTAATTTTAAAAATGATCATTCTACATCTTATGTTCTCTGATGTGATTTTCTGTGTCACAGGTGGACTTTCATGCTGGTTACAATTTATTTTGGGGTATGTCGAGTTTAATTTGCTTTTACACTTGCTCGGTTTCATTTATGGCCACTAGAATTTTCTTTCCAAAAGCTCATTCTAACATGTGCATGGTTCTCACTTTGGGCATCTTCTTCTAGCTTGGCTTGTTGCTGTCTGCTTATGGGTGCTATCAATACATAAATAAAGTTTCTGGTGATAGCATTGACCGTATGAGGTTGGATTCTGAGCATAGCTCATACATTTCTTCTATGAATGGTGAAGCTTCAAATGGCCCTCATACAATGAAGAATCCTTTATCTCAAGATCACCAGAACAATCGAAAACCTGCAGGTTTAGGTGGATATCTCTTCCAAATTATCTATCAGGTACTTTTAAGAGAAGAAAATGATTTCAATTAGAGCATAGGGTTGGTAACTTATGAAAGCCATAGGATCAAAGCTTATTTTTGTCTTTTCACTGGATAATCAAATGAGTGCTTAATTGTTGTGATTGTGATTTAATTTTGTTAAAGTTTTCATTGCGTATGACATTGGGTTTTGTTTATGAATTATGGTCATTGCAACTTATTAAGAATAATTTGCCTCCATCTGAACAGATTATCTTGAACATGCATACCGTGTACATGCACTCTTTATTGTTCATGCAATATGTTTAACTGCAGTGTTGCATCTTTTGCTTTATGGGTTTATCATTAAAGATAACTGTTTTGTTTGCTGTAGCAAGAATATTATGTTCAGGAGCGTATAAGCAGAGATTTTTGAATAATTGGTTAATAGTGAGGAAATATTAGTATGGCCACATAGGTTTTGCTGGTTACTTAGCATCAGACATGCTAAGAACATACATACTCTATAGTTAAGGGCTCTTCCGCAGGCCTATTTTTTAACAAATGAAGATACTTAAAGGTGCCTATTTTCGATGCAAGGCTAGGAAGAGTGTCACCATCCGATCTTAGTACAGCCCAATCGAAAAATGACCCTCATTACTGTTAGAAGAGAAATATTGTACTCCCCAAAAAACTCTACACAAAAACTCATAGTCACATAAGCATTTGGTGAGTTGGACTACTACAAACTCCTTCCAAGTAGAAGTGCATGACACCTATAAAAGTCGATCCAAATAAATTTTTTGTGTTTGTTTTTTGTGTAATATTACTCCTATTAGAAAGAAAAAAAGAATAGAAGAAATAGGCATCTATTAAATTTTGTGCAGTATAAGCATATATGTGTCTATATATTTGTAAAAAAAGAGAACAAGAAATCAAATACAAAATTTCTCCAATTATGCCACGATAATAAACGCTAAAGATCTTGCTATAAATGGTTATAACTTGCTAGCGAAAGATAGTTTGTCTATATATCTGTATATTGCTCTTTATGTTAAGTTTTATTTCCTTATGATGTTTTGGGTTAGATTGAAATGATAATTCATGACTTTTTTTTTTCTTGGCCTTACTACTCCATTAAATCTTGTTGGTTTCTTAATTTGGAGGTTTTAGGAAGATGTAGTTTTTGAAAGTCTATGACACCATATTTTGAATAGAAAATGTGCTACATCAGATTTGATGTCAAGATCTCGTTTTTTTTGGGGGGGATTTTATTCCTTTAACTTACTACCTTAGTGCTACTTTCATAATCATTGCACTGGAAAAGCAAATGGAAAAAGTTTTCTCAGGATGACACAAGAATTATTAGAAGATAATACCTGCAGGAAACTGGAAATGCATCTCCACTTTGTAGGATAATATATCTTGGGCTTGTTCTTGACGCGCACATTGATTCATATCAGATACATATTGAATACCAACTCATGTGCCTCTGTAACTTTGAACAGACAAATGCAGGTGCTGTCATGCTTACGGATTTTGTCTTTTGGCTTATCATATTTCCGTTTCTAGCCATTAAAGATTATGACCTCAATTTTGTAAGTATCCGTATCCTGTAGATCAACAGTTTTTTATTACTGCATTCATTGTCCTATTCTGGCTGGACTATTAACAAGTCACACGTCTCCTGTGTACAAGAAAAACAAGCATCTTAACATCTTATCATTATTTAGATTTTGTTTGGGATGACTTTCTTACTGCTTTTTAAATTAGCTTTCTAGTATAAAAATTTTAATTTTTCTATTAAAAAACTGCTTTAAGATGTAGTAAGAAAGTCATCCCAAATGAAGCCTTAGAATATGCAACTTTGAAGCCAGTACATAACATCCTGCTTCATGTTCTCTCGACACTTTTAGAAATCAAATTCTTTAGGCAGTTTTTGCTGTTTAATTTTCTATGTTTTTGTCACTATCAACATAATACGTTCGTTATATTTAACTATTTTGAATTTATTGTGGACTTTGCATGCAAGAAATTATTTGTGGAATAATTTTTTTTGGTAATCTTAAATTTTTTAAGGCAGTGGCTTAGAACCTGACTATGGGTTGCATTCTGAACATGAGCTTTTAAATGATCCAATGCAAAAACTAGTTTTCAAATAAGTTTATAATAAGGTTGCAAAGGTGACGAATTAAATAACAGAAGAGTGAAAAAAAAAATAAAGGCATATGCAGAATTATCATAACTAGCTTTATCTCAGCTTACAAAAACATGCATAATATTTTAAATTTTTGGGAAGAAAATTGTTGTCACCTTTCTCTTGAAACAGCATAAGGATCTGTCCACGCTTCAAGTTGTTTGTTTTGGTGTCTTCTAATGCTATTGTTTGTTCAGTTTTGTTGGTGATATTTCATGGCATCTTTACTTGTAATGCACTGCATGTATTACCCTCCTGAAAGGTTTTCAAAAAACAAAACTTCTATATTACATTGTAATTGTAATATTGTATTGCCATCATAAAAAAAAGGTTAATTGTTAATCGTTATTGCAGCTACAAATAGGAATGCACTCAATAAATGCTGTCTTCCTCCTTGGTGACACTGCCCTGAACTGTTTGGTAAACATCTCTTTTCTTTTGCCTAATGGACAATCATGTTATTTTCAATGAATGCTACTGATTTTGCAGATTTTTTCCTTTTTATGATTTTGTCAGCAATTCCCTTGGTTTCGAATTGCATATTTCCTGTTATGGACATCAATTTACGTGATTTTTCAATGGGTATACCATATTTGCAAATCAATCTGGTAATTTTCACTATTACTCTGATTTTGAAACTTTTGTGATGAATAGCTTCTTGTGTAAGTTTTGTTTGTTTGATCTCTTTTCATACAGGTGGCCCTATCCATTCCTTGACTTGTCATCAGCTCATGCCCCTATCTGGTATGATCTTTTTGCTAAAATAAAAATGCTCTGAAGTTACTATCTTTTCCATTATCTTTTAATCAAATTCCTTGAAAGATAATTTAAAATGTAAAAAAAAAAAAAAATGGTCCAAGATGTTGGGTCTAAATTTTTTCGTGGATGGCACCCGACCTTATTAACATACAAACTCTTAAAGAAGTGGCCTGAAATCTGTGTAAGAATGGAGGGAAAAGAAAATGTTAGGTAAAAGCTAGAGAAAAGTGCTCAAAAACTTAGTATAAAAGATCAGCAAAAAAAGATCTCCAAATATTAAAGAGTTAAAAGATATAAGTTGTTAATCATCGCCCTTTATTTATAGGGTTTTCATAGCTACAAAAAAGGTACATCCCAAGAAAGTAAAAAAGTAAAATGCTATACAGACTATCCTTGACTTACGTCAGCTCAATAATGTGAGTGTGTACGGACGAGTTTATTAGCGTCGTGTATGTGCTGATTGAGTGTGTTAGTGAGTAATTGAGCAAGGGGTGTCCGGTTGAAGGATGATGTCTGGGAGCTGCTAATGATCTATGTTGAGCCTCAAATCGCCTAGAGGTGGAGACAAGTGAACTGACGATGTGGAGAAGATAAACTTAGCTGTTTTTTAGTCATGGTAGGGCGAGCTGAGGACTCTCTTGGTAGATGCTTTTTTGTAGTTGGGCTTAGATGTGTGATGTATGAAGGCAATCACCCTGAGTGGGGGCGAGCACTTTGGTGTTTTTTTCCATTCCATAGGGCAAGCGACAAGTTACTTGGTTGACGAGATCCTTCATTGCCCCCAAGAGGAGCAACCTTTCTTTGTAGGCCAGACAAGTGGGGTTTAATGTTCCTTGGGTGAGTTCCTTTATGGAGTCCACTCGATGCGAGTCTCTTCTCGTAACTCTTGGACTACATGTTAAATATCTATGAAGGCACATGTAAGCATACTCAAAATATTCTAACAAATTGTTTTATGAGTATGGGTCTTGAAGCTGTTGGATTTAATTTGTGATAAGTGCTATACAAATTTTGATTGATGTCCCATTAATTACTCTCATTTCAAAGCAAATTCAACCGCTATTACGCTCATCATGATTAAAATTTGATCAGGATGTCTTGACCTAAATTTTTTCTATTTAAAATATTGATGAAAAGCATGATACATTGATGCAGGCAAACTCCATCTATCCACATCACCACACTCGAAACAGTCCTCGCCTTGATAGATTTTTTAGGATGATTTCATTTTTGCTTTGTTTTTCTAACTTATTTGAACTTCATAAAATGGAACGTAAGGGTAGATAAGCAACCGACTAATAAGAAACTATTATGCTATTGTTGCCACTTCTGCACACGGGCTGATGATACCTCTCCTCCCTCTCTAGGTACTTCGCCGTGGCAGTTCTTCATGTACCTTGTTATGCTCTCTTCTCTTTGATAATGAAGCTGAAGCACTGCTTGTTTATGAGATGGTTTCCTCAGTCATATTATCTGGCAAGTTAGAGAACTAATGCAACCTTTACAGTGTCTCATGGCAATGAGAGGGTCTCTCTACCAGTTTTGTCAGATTATTCCAAAGATTCAAAAAAGAACCTCTCTCTCTCTCTCTCTTTCTCTTCTGATGACAGATCCAAGGAGGAATCTGCTTGAGAAGAATGGACCATTAGCTCGACCCTACAGCTACATCTATACTCGATTTTTTAGTGTAAAAATTTGAGTTTTTTGAGGTGTTTATATAGTTACTGAATACATAGTCTACTTCCAGCAACACCAATTGTGCCTGGGAGATATGTAGTTAATTATGCATTAGATGCTTAGAGGAGCAGGAAAGAGGTTTTTTTCAAGGTGGTCATGCAGCTCAACAAAAACTATTGATGTGAAAGCGTCGAAGTGGACATCTAAAGCTCTCAAGGATCTGATTGAAATTAGAATCTTTAAATTTCAAGTATATTTTCTTCATTGAGAATCTTCATTAAGGATTTGTTATCCTAAGCCTTTCTCTACTGAACATTATAGTTATTGGAGTTGGCAGTCTTTCTGTTGGACTGTTGAATTTGGACTGAATATTTATTATCTTTTAAATGAGAAGAAAAATTTGAAGTTTCCTGCTTGTTAGTACATTGGGGACTCTCCGGATCAAGTTCATAAATGTCGGATAAACAAGTTTTGATGAATTGCAGTAATGATTCAATAAGAGTAGACATTTTGGCTCTATTTAAGATGATTTTTTAATGTTTCTTAAAGCAATTTTTTAATAGAGATTTTAATTTTTTATTAAAAAATTATTTTAAGAAGTAATAAGAAATCTGTTCCAAACAAAACTTTTATATTAAAAGAAAAAGTTAAGTAAAGATAAACTGATGAGTTTTACATCAAGATGGGCTTTAAAGCCTATAAACTTATATCGAGATTAGTGCAATTATTGAATATTATATGTATAGCATTAATTTCTATGTCAATTTAAAGGCCTTGAATTTCATTGTGATGCAGAATACATTAAGATATCATTACAAAATTTTTTTTTCTTTAATATATTGTAAGATTAAGAGGATCTTATCTGATAAAAGTTTTATTCTAATATATTCAAATATATGAGGCTGAGAGTTGAATTTAAAATATGATAAATTAAATATTAATTTATCAATTTAAAAAAAATGCTCCAACAATTGCACATAAAATATTTGATGTAACATCTATTCATATATGAATTTACTTTGGGATTGTCGTTTTAAATTAAACTTATATTGTTATGCATTCTTGAGAGAAAGAAGCCCCTTGAGCTTCTTGGAAGAGAGTGAGAGAGAGAAAGGGAAGAGAGGGAGAGAGCTTGCATAGGAAATTTTATTCCTCTTATTATTGTGTCCGGACAACCAATTCAGATGCGCTACGTCACCCAAATACACCGGGGCTCTGGATTGGTGTCCGGACGAATCCGGACATCGGACGCAATAATTTGCCTTTCTAAGGGGCTTTACAAAAGGACTATAATTACAACAACCTATATACCTATATATAGCTATAGACTCTGGCAAACAAAACTTAAATTTGGACCAATATCTAACATATATAAATTTGAATGGCAATGAGTATGTATATTTTATAATATAAAATTTAATATTTTCTAAAAGTATATTTCAATTATTATTTCATCTAAAACAACTCCTTGTTTATAAATTTTAACGCAAAATATTGATAAAATGTATTTACCATATCTCCTCATTTTTATATATTTATGCGTCTAATATATAAATCTTTATTTTAACTTATATACTCTATTTTTCTCAAATTCTCACCCAAATTCATTAATCTATATATTTTTATATGTCAAAAGATTAAATATTATACAAATAATTATAAAAATTTAAATGTTTGATACTGAAAAAATTAAGAGAAATGTATGCAAGTGCCTCTAAAATCAACAAATACTTATAAAATAAATAAATAAATAAATAAAGCAATAAGAGAAATAAGTAAATAAATAAAAAAAACTAAACAAAAGCGCGCACCTTTATGAAAGAAAAACCAAAGCAAGCAAGGAATCTGTTCTGTTCCCTCTGCACCATCTCTCATCATCATCCCCACACCTTATGAAATCTCTACTGTAATTAATCAACTTAACCTAATTCTCCACCACTCCATCCATCAATCCTTACAAATTAATCTTAATGGCTCCACCTTCAACACCAACAACCCTGCTCCTCACCCTCCTCCTCCTCCTCTTCCACCTCCTCCCCCTGCTCTTCTCTTTCCCTCTAATCCCATCATCGCCCACCTGCAGATCATACTGTGGAAACATAACCATCGACTACCCCTTCAGCCTCCAGAGCGGCTGCGGCCACCCTAATTTCCGTCAACTCCTCTTCTGCATCAACAGCCTTCTCCTCCTCCACATCCCCTCCGGCTCCTACCGCGTCCTCTCCATCGACTACGCCTTCCACCGCCTAACACTAAACGACCCCACCATGTCCGACTGCTATTCCCTCGCCCCTAATACCTCCCCTGCTCACGGCTTCATAACCAACCCCTCGCTCTCCAAATTCCTCCAACCCGCACCCGACAACGTATTCTTCCTACTCCGCTGCCGCCGCGACTCCCCTCTCTTCCAACTCGGCTTCCCCGACACGCGAGTTTGCGGAAATGTGTCTGGAATGGGGTGCGAAGACTACTACCGTTGTCCGGCGTGGGAAGCCGGTGGGAGATCGTCGGCGTATGGGACGTCCAATCCGCCGGAGTGTTGTTCGGTGGCGGCGGGGGTTGTAAGGGAGGTGAATTTGACGCGGTTGAGGTGTTCTGCTTATAGTAGTGCGTACAGCATTGCGCCGGTGAGGGCGAGGGGGCCCGGGGAGTGGGATTATGGCATTCGTGTTGCTTATTCGGTGCCGGGTGACGATGAGACGGGTTGTCGTGCTTGTCGTGTTTCGGGTGGGTCGTGTGGGTACGATGACACGAAGGTAAGGGGGGAGGAAGATGTCGATTACGGTGTGGTGATCCAACGGCTATGTATTTGCGGTGGTGGGATCGACGCTTGGAATTCTACTACTACTTGCGAGTCTACTGGTATGAATGGAAATACAATACAATTAATGTTAAAAAATAATTAGTAGTTTTTTTTTGTTTATTTTAAGAATTTATTTATATACATGTCATTATATATCTAATATTTATATTTTTATATGTATTTTTATATGTTGGCCATTAAAAGAGAAGCATAATACTAATTTAAGTGTGGCAGACATGAGGATGCTCAGGTGGATGAGTGGCTTTACCTTTAGAGATAGGATACGAAATGAGCATATACGTGAAAAGGTTGGAGTAGCTCCAGTAGAAGATAAGATTAGAGAGATTTGCCTTAGATGGTTTGGTCACATAAAACGGCGGCCTTCCGATGACCCGATTAGGAGAGTAGAGGTATTAGATTTGACTTATATTAAGAAAGGTAGGGGTAGACCTAAAAAGACTTGGTTAGAAAATATTAGGAATGATCTTTCTTTATTAGATTTAAACGAGAATTTGACTTTTAATAGGTCTCAATGGAGAAAGAGTATTCATGTAGCCGACCCCACGTGGGATAAAGGCTTGTTGTTGTTGTTGTATGTATTTTTATATTATTTTAATATTTAAAAAATATATAGATAAAATATATATTGAATTTTTGAGTCGATTAAGTCAAACTCACACACATGACATATATAAACTTCGAACTCAATACTTCTTGATTGATGGTCAAAGCTCCCAACCATAAGACCCAATTGAGATGCGTATTTTTTATAAATTAAATATGAAATATGCATAATATAGTATCAAAATTGGACGATAAGCTATTATAAAAACAACCACTTTAGTGATTTATGGTCCATTTGGGAGAAATTATTCTATGCGGAGACTGGATGCAGAACGTCGTCCGGAGACCAACCAGAATGTGCCATGCCAACGGTATCGAGCTACGTTACTAAGCAGTACTGAGCCACGATACCGAGTACAGGATGACGTGACACATTCTAATTAGTCTCAATACCGCATTCGGCATCCGTGCATAATAATTGATGCTATTTGGGACAACTTTCTTCTTTTTTTTTTCAAATTGTAACTATAATTTTGTTCATTCATCATTTTTTGCTATTTTCTCACTATTTTTCAAAAGCTTCTATGATGAAAAACTGTGTTATATAATTATAAAAGCAAAGTTATTTTTTGTATAATAATTTCACAATCAAATTTATAAATTGGTGTAGCCATCCCACAAACACTTAACCACTTACATACGCATTTAAAAGTCTTTTATATTGCCCGCTTCAAATATTCTTCATTAGCTGTGATAATGGATTTTGTATCATGATTGTATAGAGATCTCTGAAGGCTTCATCGTCAAGCAGGCTTCAATACTGAATGCTGTCCTTGGAGGTATGCCACTTTTACGCCTTAAATTAATACAGGTTTTTGTCATTTGATAATGGTGTTCAGGGCACGGCAGATCCAAGAATAAAATTTTAATTAACAACAATAATAATAATAAAATAAAATAAAATCATAAATTAAAAAAAATTAATTGAATTTCAATGCAATGCAATAAAAAATAATTTAAAAAATAGATTAAAAAAAAGATTTATTTGTATAGAAATTATAATTTTTTTCTCTTATTTCTTATAATTCTTTTCTAACCCAACTTATAAATAATAAGATATTTCTTTTTTCATTGGATAAAGTTTCACTCATACTTTATACAAATTAGAAAATAATTACATTACCTTTTTTAGTGTATTCAACAAATGCTTCTTCCTCTCTCTAAATGATGGGCAAAATAATTTTTTTAGGGCGGTCAAAATTCCAAATTAATCCCATATAGACCCCTTTTTTTATGGGGATCCGCCCATGATGGTGTTTGATAGCAAAAATAATGAAAAACTATTTACAAATGTACTTTGTAGCATATAAATTATGTCCAAGATTAGTTAATATTAGATTTTATTTGGGACAACTTTCTTATAGCTTTAAAGCAACAATATTTTATATTGAAAATTTATTTTAAAAAATAATAAAAAAGTCATGCCAAACAAGAGAAATTATCTTTTATGGACACCGAACTGTCCGAAGACCAATCAGAACCCGCCATGCCATTCGGTACACAGCAGTATCGAGCACTGATACCGAGCAAAAAAGTGACGTGGCATGCTCTGGTTGATCCCCGGACGCCGTTTTTGTCTGCACAAAACAATTTTTCGCCAAACGAAATCTTAATCTGAGATTATGTTGCTTGTTCATGCAGGTTGGTTGGTGTGTGCAGCTGGCCTTCTTGCAATCTAGTTAATTTCTAGTTATTAATTGAAAGGAGCTTTCTCGGCCATGATTTGGATTTTTCTGTTCCATTTTTGTGGCGTCAGACAAGCAAACAAGTTAGCAACTGAGAAACAATATTTCTCCTTTTTTTTTTGGAAAAAAGTTACATGGCGATGGGATTTATATTCGTTAGATTTGTGTTGAGATTTGTGCATTTTTATGATATTATATGTAGTATTAATCTAAATGCAAATTTGATGAATATGAATATACTAGTATAATTTGACAATTTTTTACACAATTTTTACCTTGGCTGGTTCTACCAATGTGAAATTTGACATGTATTTCTGTTATTTATCTCTTGGCTCATTTCATGCTGAAATGTTCAATGAAGAAAAAACAGTGAGGATTTTATCTTATAGATTTGTGGCTTTGATTCCTTATCTTTGCTGCCAATATGCACTGCATACATTTTATACGAGAAAAAAAGAAAGGAAATTTTAAGAGAGGGCTTGAGAGCCAGAGCGGAACCGTCTCTATTTTAAGGGTGGGCAACAAAAGAATTGTGAAATATAAATTTTAAAAATAGGACCGGACCGGCTGGTCCAACCGGTTCAACTATGAATCAGTCTTAAGGTCGGTCCGGTTCATCCTAAAAATTATTTTCACATCGAATCAGCTTGAACCGTTGGTTCAACCGACAAACCTCTGTACCAGTCACGGTTATCTTGAACAGCTGGTTTAATTTTTGAATTATTTGAATAATTAAATAATTATTTTAAAATATTAAGTAACATTTGCAATTTAATTTTAAATTTGAAATGCTTAATTTTAAATTTAAAAAATCCAACTAAGCAATACACAAGATTTCATCACTTTGTGTGAGATATTACTCCATCATAACTCAAAAGACTATAAAATAAAATCATTACCAAGATAAAGTTTTCCAATTAACGTGGGGACTAAAAAAATTTAAATGCTTATTTCTTAAGTTTACAATGTACATTATATATTTTAAAATAATTTTTTTAAATAAAATTTTAATGATGTAGATAATATTTATTTTTAATTAATAATGATAAACCAATTATATTCTTCATTTATTATTTTATATACTATAAAATTTAATTAATTATAATAAATGATCTAATCTAACTTCAATAATTTATTAATGTAAAATTGTAATATGAATTTAATATAAAATTTATAACTATAAATTATATCTAAATATATAATATAAAATAATAATAAACTTTTAAATTTATATGTAAGTAAAATTTTTTGATAAATTTAAATTAAATTTAAAAATTGAATTTGTTTAAATTTAAGTTGCATAAGATATTTATTTTTGTTTGAATTCAAATTATTTTAATAAAAAAATTATATTATTATATGATTATTATATCATCTAAAATTTATTTATTACATCATCTGGTTCTATGGATGAAATACAAAAAAAAAAAATCGTTCTTAAAATTGGGCAATTATATTTATTGAAAGTGGTCAAAATAGTTAAAATCTTTATTCTTGCCACTTATGAAAGAAAAATAAAATTAAGGTTTGGCAATTGCCACCAAGAATTTTTCCTGGATCCACTCCTGCTTGGGAGGGCAGGTGCTTCTTCTAAAATTTTAAGATATTTTCATATATTATGTATTTTTATTTATGTAAGTATAATTTTCATAATAATAAACTTGTGCTATCTTTGAAGTTTTTTAATTTAAAATTAAAATATCTCACTTCGCACTTAAAAAAAATGATTTCGCCGTTCAAAGAGTAATATATAATATTATTTTGATATATTTTTATTAGGCCTAAAAAATGAATAATAAGTTTGAAATTAAAAGACATTTAAATTTTTTGAAAAGATATAAATGTCCCCTATTTTTATTTAAATATCCTATATATTTTAATTTTATTTTCAGCATATTATTATTTTGATTCAAAGGATATTTGCATGCAAATCTTTTTATATATGTTTCATATTTATTGACATAGAAAAATAAGTAGCAAGAGATATTAATCAAGCACATTTACAGACTTTCTAGAAATTATTAGGTGCAAAGTCCGGACGTAGAGATACGTCCAGACTCTAATAAAATGTTGACACATGAATATTCAATTGGATTTATTTTTTACTTTTTATATTTAATGTGTCCGCAGAATTTTAAGCAAAGCACAATAAAAGTGCAACTAAAACGCAGGTAAATAGCACACAAAAAATGCAACAAAAACGTACTTCATGTGTCACATTTTAAATGGATGTCCAGACATATCTCTACGTCAGGACTCCGCACCTAATAATTTCTCTTGATTAAGAGAGTTGTTACTCATTCAAAAAAATTTTAGGAGTATTTATTTTGGCAGTATAACAAAATGAATTCTAAACTTTTTCAATGCTGTTCAAGGGTTAGTATAATAAGATAGACTGAGGTGATAAATATAACTAAATCAACTCATCCATAAAATATCAAAATCATATAATAATATTTATTTAAAACATCTAACACTGTTGAGTTTGATTAAGCACCAAATATCACATATGATCAAACACCACACAAAAATGTTAAAAATATTGTGGTTTGTTTTTGGCTCAAGTTGGAGAAATATTTTTCTATGATTCTAAACCAATTAATACAGTATCAAGAAAGTGTTTGATAGTTTCTTAGTTTAGGTATTGATTGTTGTTGCCATTATTTCCAATTTAGTTTTTTTCTTATTGTGTATAATAGTAATTTGTCAAAAAATTTTGGTACTCTTTGTATTAATAGTATTCAAAACAGAGAGCCAGGAGTATTTGTCTACATCGCTATTAAGATGATTATTGTGAATATTGAATCTTGAAATTGGTCGAGCCACATTAGAGTCCGATCGTTTGTGATGTTTGTTTTGCTGCTTTCTAAAGCAGTTTTTTAGTATAAAATTTTTTTAAAATTAAAAAATTTTGTACTAAAAAAGTTATTTTAAAAAAGCACAAAAAAATTATTCAAATGAAACCTCCGTG